ACAACCACCACGTCTCATCTCTCACTGAAAATGAGGTGGGGGTGATGATGGTGATGATGATGGTGATGATATTGGTGATGACGATGTGGATAGCGATGATGTAGATGATGATGATGATGATGAAGTTTGCCTTACCGAAAGAACTTCGGTTGGCTGGCTGACTGATTGGTTGGTTAGTTGGTTGGATGACTGGTTGGTTGGTTGATCGATCAATCGATTGATCGATCGATTGATTAATTGATTGATTGACTGACTGGTTGTTTACAAACTAAACCAAAGTTCAAAAGTTCAACATTATCAACAACGACAACATCATCATCATCAACAAAAACAACATCATCATCAACATCACCATCAATAACAACATCATCATCAATAACGACATCATCATCACCATCATCATCATCACCATCCTCAGGTCTTGGATATAGTGCGCAACAACTATGACTCACTGACTCTGAAGATGCATGATAGTCTAGATCAATATGAGCGGTTGGTTGGTTGGTTGATTGGTTGGATGGTTAGTTGATTGGTTGGTTGTTTGGTTGGCTGGATGGTTGGTTGGTTGATTGGTTGGTTGGTTGATTGGTTGGTTGATTGGTTGGTTGATTGGTTGATTGGTTTGTTGATTGGTTGAATGGTGGTTTGTTGATTGGTTGGTTGGTTGATTGATTGGTTGGTTGATTGGATGGATGATTGGTTGGTTGGATGGTTGGTTTTTTGGCTGGATGGATGGTTGGTTTTTTGGCTGGATGGATGGTTGGTTGGTTGATTATGTGGCTAGTTGTTAGATTAGCCGGCTGGTTGGTTGGTTGGATTATTTATTGATTGATAAGCTTGGTTGGTTGGTTTATTCATTTATTCATTTATTCATTCATTCATTCATTCATTCATTCATTCATTCATTCATTCATTCACCCATCCTCTCGTCCATATATTCATTCACTCACCAAATCATTCGTTCGTTCGTTCACTCGTTTCTGTCATTCATTTTCTTTTCAAAGGTACTCAGAGAAACCTAAGGACATTACTAACTTCTTCATGACGATTGTTAGTGTCATTGTTTGTTGTATCCGAGTTCGTTATATCGCAGTTCGTTATATTACATTGTACGTACGTAACTCTTTACATTTTCATCCAAATCTCTCTCGTTATTAGTTAGCCCGCGTTGTCATCATCACATCATCTCCATAATCATCATCGTCGTCGTCATCACCATCACCAAGGTCAGGGACATTGCGTCTGACCTGAGGAGGTCAACCAGTGAGTACTTCAACAACACTGCAAAGGCCAAAAATCACGATACCGTCAGTAGTGGTAATAATAATAATAATAATAATAATAATAACATTAATAATAATAATAATCAATGAATGAACGAACGAATAAAAAACGAAAAAATAAATTACTGAATTTTACGGATGAAATGATAAATCTGCTGATGAATTGAACAAATGAATGAACAAACATACGAACGGATGGATGAATGAGAGGACAAGTAAATGAATAAATTATCAAATCTATAAATTAATAAAGTTTTTTCTTTGAATAATGGAATTAACATACATCAAACACACACACACGCACACACACACACACACATATATATATATATATATATATATTTATATATAATTTTTATTCATTTTATGCATGGTAAAACAGAAAAGCTTTTTTCGGTATTCCTATGCCATCTTCGGTGTTAAAATTGATATGTTGTGGTTGTGCCCAGATGCTCAATTATTTTTATACTGAGCCTACTTGTTGGTTTCTTGTTTGTTTAAAGTGAATATTTAGTTTTACAATCTTCAACGTCGTAAAATATAAGACTTTTACATGTTTTCATTATCGATAAATATAAAATTTTCGCTATTGCCGGCGAATCAATACTCATGAAACAAAGACATCCGATAATAAATATTCAACAACGGGCAATTGGAATTCTTCCTACCAATAAATTTAGAAACAGAGGAATCATCGATAATGAAAACACATAAGAAACATACCGAGAAAAGCTTTTTTGTTCTAACATGCATAAAATAAACAAAAATTTTCGTTTTGAACTAAAGAAACTTGAAAATGATTTACGATCAACCGTCAGAAAAATTGAAAAGTTAAATTGGAAGTTAACTAACGCCGAACCTGTTGTGATTTTCGTCAATATATATATGTATATATATATATATATATATATATATATATATATATATATATATATATATAACACACATACACTATCTGATATGCAGTTGTTTAAAAATATCACATACTGTTGTCTCTCTGATACTCAGAGGCTATAATAATATTAATGATGATACTTGTATAATACGGTACTCGCGTGCATAATGCGAATGTGTCGTTTGTCGGGGGTAGTGTGCTGTACATTACGGCCTTTGTGGCACAAAAGTTTAATTACAAATTTTAAATGACATATAGGCAGCTCAGCGTTTGATTTAACACGGAGTAGAGATGTGATGGTTGAAAAGAGTATGATCAAAAGAAACCCCTAAAATTTTGACGGCAAAATATTTTTAAAAACGTAAGATTGAAACATCGGCCGCACAGAAAATCGTTGTGAAACTACAGAGGCAAAGGTTTGTTAAGTTTTCAAGTTACATTAGTCAGAAAGAAAGCAATTGGTCTTGCTATTGTAATGACTGGGTTCGAATACAAAGAGATCCCCGCCCATCAAATGCAATGTGTATGATGCGTGGTTTGCACGCGTATTCATATACGCTGTGTGTGTGTTTGTCGTTGAAACCTCTGAGGCAAACGCAAAAGAGAGAGAGTAACCTTTAATTAGGTAACTGAACAGCATTCAAAGGTAAATATATAACGATCAAGAGCATGGTGCAAGAAATTAGATACACCAGTCGGTTCGTAGATTCTCGTAACATTTTATGGTCAAATCATTTTTTTTTAATTTCTCGTGTACGGAATATCGAACAAAGAACAATAATCTTATTTCCGCGGATTCTTGTTCCACTGAAAATCAAAATTCATACAGAAAATTGAGAAATTTTTTGTGTGAAACGATGCAGCCCCAAGGCTCCACATGAACAGCGCTCCTGATCAAAAGCTTAAAAAGAAGCCATGTGGAATGATAACCAGCTAAGAAAATAAGATTGAGAAGTGCTTGTGTAATTGCAGCTGATGAAAATGCTAATAATTCTAGGTATTTGTATTAAAACGAAACGGTTTGCACATAAGCACTCAGTCCCTCTCTGGATATTAAAATTAAACCATTTAAGTTGAACTGAAATATTCGAACATCGAACAAAATATATATAGGCGACTGACTCACCATGATGGCAAATTCAATGGAGTTTTGTGTCCTGCAATGTACCAAGCAAGATGTATACGAGACTGCCTGATCCGCCTGAATCATCTTGCTCTTTTGTTTCAATGCCTCCGAGTAACAACCAACGTAACTTGGTTTAGGCATTTTAGCTGAAATTAATGCGTTAAGCAACTTTGATTGCGTTAAACAAGACGCAGAAACAAGCAGTACATAGGTGAAATTAAGAAACATGAAAAATTGCGCTGGAAACCTGAGAAAACGATGTAATGGTTAGGTCCTCCACACGGGTTGTCATCGGAACACACCACGTTGCAATTAACTGATTCACTCGCTTCACGGGCTGACAAACCACAGTGACATTCATCACCATTCTTATTAGGTTGGTTAATAAATTTTTTCAAATTTAGAACTTAACGGATGATAATCTAACACGGTTAATTTATTTTTTTCATAAATTTCAGAATAAAGGAATGAGATAAAAATTGTTATAAAATCTAACGAACTGGGATGAGAATCTTGAATATGTAAAATTGAGTTCTAAAATTTATTCCATTTCTAACAAAATAATATTTTTCAAAAAAAATTTACAAACAATATATCTGATCCTAAGCACTTGAATTCTATAGAATGTAAACTAAACCATGATAAACACACTCTAAAAGCAAAGCATACCACACCACCATCAGTTCACGAAATATACATTTTCCTCATCTCGCCCAAGGAACAATATTTAATTTTTTCGCACTATTGTCAATTGCGAGCTATAAAATAACTTACTGACCTTCAAGCCAATAATGAACATGGGATTTTGAAGTCCTTCGCAGAATATTGTGCATTCATCAAATGTGATATTCGTTGATTGCAAAGCGTTCTCATTAACAAAAGAACCAAAACATCCAACGTAGTAATATTCTCGCCAACTGTCATCTGCGTTAGAAGCCAATCATATTGTTTTTATGAATTGATCAATTGTAAAATCTACTTTTGAAAAAAAAAACTGGATAAATAACTATAAACACAGTGATTAACATTATAGGACCAGTGGAAAAAATTCACTAAACTATCAATTGGTCGATTTGTAAATTAAATGTTCATTAAATATTGATAATTAATCCTTTAAAAATCTTTTAGTAGATCTTCATAGAATTCATTTTTTCCTTGTCCATTTCTTACATATTCAACATTCTCATCCCAGTTCCTTTATTGAATGTCATCCAGCCATTTTCTAACAGATTTCAACTATTTACTTCCAGTTCTTCTTTCTTATTATTGCAGAGTTGTGTCCAAAGGATCCGAGTGTACTTTCAGCTTTTTGTAAACATTTTTCTTTAAACTGGCTTCTTGTGATTTCGTTTCCCGCATTCTTTTATCTGATGATTCCCAACAGTAACAAATGTTCGTAGTCCACCTTCCTTATGAATTATCTGGATTGTACTTCTGCCTCCTTAAAAACTTGATTGGGTTTCGCTCAAATATTTTTTACATTTATTCGTTTGATTTTTCAAGATTGTCAACGAAATTTTTCGCACGTTAGGAATTAGTGCTACTGATAATTAATTTTGGAAATCTTCCAGATCACTGATTTGCCTAACAAATGACATCAATTTAAAAAGGCATACTTGCTTGTACTGAACGATAAAAAACATTTTCAGAATTGACTTACTAAAAAATAGCTTATGCATTACAAAGATTTAAAATGAATTAGTTTTGATAGCCTATCAGTGCTAAAACGCCATAAAACTGCAGTAGAAGAATTGGTTTTGCCTAGGTCTAAAATTTAATTTTGATTCGATTTTTAAATTGTGTCAAAATGAAAATCTGAACATTCATTTCTTTATATGTGAGTTGTGCGTATTAAAATTAACAAACAACAAAAACCATATCAGGTCAGCCAAGTATAATTTCGACGAAGTTAACTCCATTTGCCATTTTAGACTTCAACTGTTGTACGTCGATAACAAAATTATTATAACATTCCTTCATTTATTTATTCTCAGATATCTATCAGGGCGTTAAGGCCTGCTTTCATCGGTAATTTTTTTATCACTTTTATTTTAATTATTAACTATTCAGCACGCAACGCGTCAACAGCCTTGTTGGCTTTTGCCGCGAATGGAAATCGTAGTTAAGGGTTTATTTCTGAATAAAACAACGAAATGTGTTATAACTATTTTTACTGTACTGAAATTCAAAGTAAGTTAAGCAACATGAATCTCACTGGATAACATTCAGACATAGAAAGAGAAACAAACCCGCAAAGACTTCAATTTCGTCTAAGGCCAAATAATTAACTTTCTGTATAACTTCAGAAAAAATGAAGACAAATATCGATTTGAAATCTGGATGTTTACAATCCACGTAAACTGGCTGCACACGTGCTCCTGCCCACCTCATATGTATCGCATGGAATTCTAAGTGAGTCGGCCAGCAGAACATCGTCAAGCTCAATTGTGTACGTTTGATTGCCTTCTTTTAAAAAAAATCGTTTTATAATTTTCAATGTTAGAAAGATATAATTTCTAATTAAACGCCATTACCGATATTATTGAAGGTCGGCCTGTGGTAGACAACTACATACTGCACTTTGTATAAAACTGTCAAGAGGTATAGTAATTAATATTTTATCTGGTGACCGAAGAACAGGAGTTGAAGGATTTCGTATGAGGTGACCATCCACCAGATGCTGGGCTTGATCACTTTCCAATTTTGGGATGGTGTCAACTCTTTTTCTAAAGGCTACATTCTTAGGCGGCAAATCTGATATACAAAATTGAGACTTTACAACGTGCAGCGTTGGAAATTTTCAAGAAATTACAAAATGCAGACAACAATTATTTGCACTTGAAAGCAAAGAATTTGTGGAAAACATTACCTGCGCATTTCCACTGAGAGGTCCTATATTTACCAGGTGGACAAACGCACTCACTGTAAACTTTTTCTCCTTGTTTAACTTCATTGCATTTCATCCATTCACCACAATGCCCTCCTAAAACTTGACAATCTTCCAATTTGAAATATGAAACAATTTTAAAACTTCTAAACGTTAGGAGATTAGTTAATAGTTTAGAGCTTTGTTAGGATTTTTAAAAAAATGATAAAATTTACACCTTTCATCACAAAACGTTCCGGTCCACCCATCTTTGCAAGCTACACTACATCTTGATAAACGTTTCAGTTTAACTTCATCACCACAGTGACTATAAACTGACTGGCCAGTTTGAACTTCCAGATACGTTCCAACTGTACGACAACATTACAAATATGATTGAGCGAGCAAGTTTAGCAATAGTTTAAGAAATGAAACGAAAACAAATTGTTTATCTTAACTTCTTACCTGAAAATTTGGCCGCGCAATTTTTCCCGCCACATTTTTGAGCAGCATTCCCACGACATTTTATATTGCAGTTGTCACCATAATTCTTCGGATCACCACACGACTCCTTCTCTCTGGAGCTGCACTGGCACTCATCCGCTCCCTTGTACGATGCGAAGATGATGAATGAAGAAATTAATAATCTTATCAAAAATCTTAGAATTTAATAATAATGATGAAAGTAATCCATGTTATGGAATATAGCGCTCATTGCGAGGGCCTTGGACATGCGGCTGAACAGATGCCAGAGCAGCCTTCGAAAACATGTTCCATAGATAAAGCTTCAGACTCTCGCATAATAACTCAAAAATTTAAAGTTACTCGAAAACTATTTTTGCTAATGAGTTTGGTTAACAAAAACTGATATGAAGGATAGTGACTGTGAAATATGCCAGTGGCAATGTATTCTCAGCACAGATCTTCATACATAACTCGATGGTCAGTGAATTCACATTTTTAAAAACTTTCGCATCGTCAGGAACTACGGAACCAGCGTCGATCAGTGCATGTTTTACTAACATGGCAGGTTTTGCTGAAAAATGAAAAGTTTCAATCACAATCCCAATGTTTTAGGAAGAACAAAAAGCAGACTCTGATAAATGGAATAATATTTGGCGCCCCCACACATCTCATTCCCTGCACTGCAAGTCATATTACAAAGTTGACTGGTTACTGGGTAGGAAGCTCTTTCAACGCAAAAACACATTTTTCCGTTCTGAGTGTTAAATAATTTTTTTTTTATAAACGAGAAAACAAAACGACAAACGAAAATTGAATGAACAAGCAGACAAACCAACAGTTAAACAATAGACTAAACAAAGAGAACGAACTAATAAAAAATCAAGCAAACGAACAAACGCGTAAGCAAACTAACAAACGCAAACAGAACTTAATAGAAACATGACGATAAACAGACGTTGAGTCCAACGAGGTAGCTTTCTTCATTATTTACACAGATCTCTCAGGGATCAATTCTTGGACTTTTTTCTTTCAAACTTATTCATAAATGATCTAGGCATTACTAAACCCTTAGGCATTACTAAACCCTCTGTCAAACTCATAATGTCTCCCAATGTTACAACCATTTTCATCAGTGTCATTTTTTCTAATATTATTTGGTATTGTATTATTTTTTTATTTTTATGCTTCTGGGTAACCATACAAACCATACAAGTTCCTTAAAACTTGACTGTCTCCAGTCTTTGCTTATATACTTTGCTGATTAAAAAAATGAAATATAATTACAAAAAACTGAAACAGTAAATAAAGGTATGAAAGTAGAAACAAACACGTAAAGCTATGTAAGACAAAGTAAAAGGAATGCAATAATCTTTGCACTCCGAATGGGCACTGTCTTTCGTAACGGGCCTTGCATTGGTATGTATATTAACAACCATGGTAATAATCCACGGCTCTGACGACATTTTAATAAAATAACACATTATAATTGAAAAAAATCGTAATCATGGTGGAAACATTATTAATAAATTAACGTCTAAATTAAGTGTAAATTCTTAAAAATTAGTAAGATCTGAATTAAAAATAAACCTGAAGATGAGAAGAGAGTCAGGTAGATGCCAAGTAGAGAGATGAAGAAATTGATGCAAACAAACGTCGACGTTATTCAATTATTTAAGATTTTTGAACACTGAACTTCAACTCCGTCTCCTTTTGATACTTTAAGTTTAAAAGTTTGAAAATCCGATAATAAACAATTAAAATAAACTGTTTCAAAAATAAACCGACAAAATTTAACTAAATTCAAACCGTTATAGCGATGGGCGCGTTTCGATATTCTGTCACAGTTAAACATGCAAAAATATTAGAATAATACACATAATTATTTTTATTACATATATATATATACAATCATTTATAATATTTATCGTAATTTATATTTATTTATATTATATTTCATTTAATTTATGTTATATATCAACCTGCGAACTTGTCAATTTTTTTTCTCACGTAAGCATAATTTTTTTGTTTTTGCCCTTTTGTTTGGAGAACAAAACTAACCTTTGTAAAAATTAATTAACTAATTAATTTATATTAATTACACAAAATAATTAATTAATTAATATTTCTGTTTATAATTTTAATCTATTTTATTCAGGGTTGTTAACATGCAACTGATGCATTTTTTCCCAAATAATCTCCTTAGAATAATCGTCGTTTCCACTCATGGATATAATAATATATTTATAGATAGTTATATCCAAGTTTCCATGGTTGGAGTTAATGTACATTTTCGGCAAAATCCATTTGCATTTGCATAGGTCTAAATTGCTCTCAACCTCGAACCAATTTGCAACTACTTGGTTCTAGAAACTGTACAGTGGCATCGTCACTCTAGTCATCTCAATACACTCAGAATGTTGGTGTCCGTTCGCACTCACCGATTGTGCATTAAAAAAATGTACCTCGGTTTGATGGGGCAGTTGGGGTAGTGTTTCTAGTATCAGAAAGTTTGCTATTGAGTGAAGATTAACAAGGCAAAAAAAACATGGGTTGTTGGTGAAATTTTTTCGTCGCAAAAAATTTAAGCAAATAAAACAAAACCTAACTTGGTTACTATACTTAAAATAGGATCATCTCGTTTTGTTTCAAAAAATAATTCAATTTCTATACGCTTAAAGTACTCTTGGAGTAAAAAATGAATCCATCAAACGTAAGTAGCCGAAGCGATGTTTGTCATGTTTCTACCGATTACAATCACCAAATGATAACATCTCATTTATATTAATAATAAGATCAGTCGTTCATTCATAAACGAATTATATAAAATTTGTAAAAACAAGCGAATGCTCGAAGGCATGTTTGACTGAACAAATGCACGGCTAGAATACTAAAATGAATCTGCGAGTAAGTGAACCGACAACTGAATAAAAGAAGAGATGAGTATGTTAACGGTTGAGAGATTGAACAAACGAACCAAATAATGCACTAACGAACAATTAAAAACATATAACTAATGAATCTTTGAATGAACGTAATGGATGTAGAAGACCAAACTGAAGACAACACGAAAGAATGCAAACAAATCAAATGAACAAGTGAACACAAAAAACAAACGAACGATTGAAAACAACGAACAAACAATCGAACAGACGGACAAACAAATGGAATAAGGAAAAACAACATCAGACAACCACGTACTCCAACAACACCCTATATCTCTCATCTTTCGCAACCATTCTCCTGATACTTGCGACCACCTTGTTAACGGAGGGAGAGCTAACATCCATCACGCTCATAGACGTTGAAGTCGATGAAGCGGCGGTAGTAGTCACTGCTTTCCTACTAGAAGTCGGTAAACCTTTACAAGTCCCGGCCACAATCAGTTTCAGCAAATAATGCAAGAAAGGTGACGATGACGGATCGACATGGGGCAGAAGGGTCTCAAACATTTTGAGGGCCACAACTGCCACTCTCGTTCTCTCCATGTCTCTCAACTTTTCCTGCACCTGCTCCGCGATTAAACCCACCAACTTTCCAACCTCAGCGAGAAATTTAGGGTCTCCACCGTACAATGCATCGTTGGAATCAACATTCGCCATTTTGTAAGGTAAAATTTCCTGCGACACAGACGACAACGATACTATCAGACTGGCGTAAGCCATCAACTGTGAGTCGAAGTTAGGATCCCACTTGTAGGAGGACACTTGGGAGAAGAGGAGGTGGTAGAGAGAGAGGGGAGGAAGATGAGGTGGGTCCGGAAGAAAGAGGATGATCGAGGAGAGGTTTCTGACGCAATCTACGAGTTGTGGGTCTGTCGGGTGGATCTTGCCATCAAACTCTACGTACCTGGAGAGAGTTGGTGCGAGTGTGTGAGGAGTTGTTTGTGTGAGGTGTTTGTGTAATACAGTTCGTTAATACACACACACACACACACACACACACACACACACACACACACACAAACAAACAAACAAACATGGACAAACAAACACAATCACAAACCCACATTCAAACCAGCCAACACCAACAAACTTCGGCACTTGTGAAATAAGTAATATGGCGGCCCTAAAAAAGTCATCAGCCTGGCTGACGCAGACGTGATGCAGGGCCACAAGGCCCGACCCCACGTACATGTTCACCCTCTCCAGCACGCCATTCAGCGACGGAATTGTTATGAAAGTGTAGGCACAACAGGCCCTGACAAACGAAAAATCTTTTTTCTTTACGGATGAGGTCGTTGTTGTAGTTTTCGTTCTTGATTTCATCCTTTCGTCGCTGCTCTCCCTACCCTCCATCACCAGGTGATTGACCCGGTGCACGAGGAACGCTAGGATCGGGTCGATGTTGTAGAAAGTTGATCTGTCGTTCGTGTTGTTGTTGTTGTTTGGTTGTTGATATTGGAGGTGGCGTTTTGTTGTTGTACCTATTAACTTTAAAAAATCCTTTAAATTAACCAAACAACCAGCCAACCAACCAACCATCCAGCCAACCAACCAGCCAACCAACCAATCAACCAACCATCCAACAGACCATCCAGCTAACCAACCAGCCAACCAACCGACCATCCAACCAACCAACCAACCGACCTGCACTTAACATAGAATGCAAGTTGCGCCTCATTTGATTCTGTAGAGACCGCACCGATAAAGTCGTTGATCAGTGTGCTGACGTCACGAACCTTGATATCATCATCATCATCAATAATCCCGTTAAATAGCCTACTAATCCCTCCATCAAGCAACCAGTCAATCAATCAGTAATTCAATCAATCTATCAACTATCCAACGAAACAAATTATATCAATCAACTCACTTTAAACCAATCAGCCAATCAATTATTTAACCAACTAATCAATCAACCAGCTAATCGACTAATCATTTAATCAATCAACCCACCAAACAAACCATCACACTTATAACCAACCAACCAGCCAACCGACCAACCAGCCAACCGACCAGCCAACCAACCAACCGACCAACCGACCAACCAGCCAACCGACCAGCCAACCAACCAACCTCATCATCAGAGGTCATGGCATTGACATGATCATGAAAGTACTTGCAGATCGTCATCATGGCGTGAATGACAACCGGGTCACTCAAGACCGTCACCTGACCACCGGGTGACCTAATTCTGCTAACATTTGACCTACTTTCTCGGAGATGGCGCGAAAACCGTGTCAGCACGTCTCTACAGACCTGGGCCTTGGTTGGTTCCAGTTGTAAATGAGAGTTGTGTCGTGAGTAAAGTTGGCTGTGTGTGTGTGTGTGTGTGTGTGTGTGTGTGTGTGTGTGTGTGTGTTTTTCAATAGAACCATCACCACAATTACACGATCATCATCGTCGTCGTCATCTCATCCTAATCACCATCACCGTCATCAGTTTAGTCACCGTGAAAGTAATCATATAATGGAGAAGAATAAATAACAAATAACAAAAACAATACACAATAACAACAACAACAATAATAATAATAATAACAACAAACCTTGTCATCCGAATTGAACATACACAACAACAACAATAATAACAACAACAAACCTTGTTATCCGAATTGAACATATCCAGGTAGGGTAAGAAGCTAGCCGAAGATACAATGTCCACCAGACTCGAGTTTGAACAGCTGACCAGATGCTGCATGGTCAGCTTGATTGACGTTTGCTCATCCTCGTACGATCTATCCATCATCATCCTCTTGATGACGTCAGCCATTACGACGTTGCATTCTTTCTTCGTGAAGAACCTCCCAACATAGGCCGACCAGACGATCACGCTCTTCATGTATTCGCTCGCTGAGTAGAGGCCAGACAAGCAGCGCCAGGAGTCATTCAGCAGCGGACGCCTAAACTCTTCGTCTAGACTGTCCGGAGATGTGGCTAGACGAGATCCGAGACGTCTGTATAGTTCTGGTCTGAGGTTTTATTTTAACGTGCGGCGTGTGTGACTTTATTATGAATGATCTTTAAAGTTTTCTTCGTCATCATCATTGCGAAAAGGTAACGAATGAAAAAAATTAATCAACAAAGTGTAGCAAAAAACTAAAAAAACGTCACTAACGCTTTGAGACACAAAGGTTTTTCATTGGCCATTAACTGACCAATCATCCTGCTGATAACAATCGACTGACTCACAAGGTACAAAGAAGGTGATTGGTCAATGAACGAGCCAATAAGAAGAGATTTTATAGCTTCATCTTGACAGGCTGTTATGATGTTATAAACTTCACCTAGTATGTCGGTAGTACTGCTATTGGTGCTTCTGTGAGTGATGTCATTGATGCTGCTGCGTGATTGGACGACGCTAAACCTTGCAATGCACCTCATTATCCAATCAAATGCCGGGCTGAACAGTAACAAATACTCCATCTTCTCCTCATCACTGCTTTGCTCCGGCCTCAAAACCTCGCTCGAGCACCTCTGAAAATGCGACACGAGAACTCGAAGGCAGTCAGTCAAGGACCTAATTAAAAATGACGCCAGCAACGACGACAGAGTGGATGAAGACGATGTGGAGTCAGTCGCAAGTCCGTTCATGCAATGAACAAAACCGGATGACGTTGAAAAAAATGACGAAGAACTTTGCTGCCTGTGGATCACTAAAGAGTCGGCAACTTTTACAAGGTAACATCGGAGGTAGAGAGACACAAGAGGGTCTGCCACACCCCTGACCGAGGCCAGCAAACGATCCAATTCTTTGACGGCCCCCTGCTGGCCGAGGAGGTCGAGGCACCGGAGCACGCTGGCCTCCACGTAGATACGCGGAAGGAGTTCGCGGATGGAGGAGATTTTGAAGATCCAGTTGCGACAGGTCTCTCTCGCTGGTTCTGATACCTGGGTGGTGGTGGTGGTGATGGTGGTGTTTCGTTCGTTTGTCTGTTTGTTTGTTTGTTCGTTCGTTTGTTTGTTTGTCTGTTTGTTTGTTTGTTTGTTTGTTACTGAAGACGTTCAGTTTTTTTAAATTTGATTAGTTATTGTTGTTGCTACAGTTTTTATCAACACGAACATGCATACAACTGAAACTTTCACACATCATGTATAATCAAATTGTGAACAAACAAACAAATAAGAACTAGATAAGCTACTGGCTGTTCTGTCAGCCAGCCAAACCACCACTCAACTAAGTCAACCAACCAACTAACCAACTAAACCAGTCAACAACCCACCAACCATCCAACCAACCAATCAACTAACCAACCAGCCAACCAACCAACCAACTAGCCAACCAACCATATTAGGATTTATATCAAGAAGAGAAATATTAGGCAGATGTTGATGAGCAGTCGTGGTCGACTTCTCCAACAAACGCTCAAGTACAAGCGCACCGAAGTTGTCGAGAATGTCTGCAATTAGAATGAACTTGCTAGGGTAGAACTGCTTGGAACTCGTATCCCCCAGTAACTTTACGCACTACGTGTGTGTGTGTTTGTGTGTGCGTGCGTGTGTAAGATAATATTAGGCAGATGTTGAGATGTGTGTGTGTGCGTGCGTGTGTCCGTGTGGCGGTCGTGTGTGCGTGTGTGTGATGGCATAATATAAATGGTGTCATAAATAACAGCAACACAATGTATCAACACAACAACAAAAACAAACAACAAACAGATCAACAAAAAAAAAAAAAACATCGAACCTCAAAACAAAAACAACAGATATCATTGGTAAAAACCTGAATAGCTATTTTTAGCGTCTTGACTCTCTGGTCCACTTTCCAGGCATGAACAAGCGCACTCGAAAGTTTGTTTATGTGACCTACATACTCATCCTGAGACAAGGTCAAGGTCTCCTGCACTGAACCCTCCTCAATGTCGTCTAGCTGTTCCAGACGTTTCTTTACCTTAATATTGTTTGTGTGTGTGTTTGTGTGTGTATGGGTGTGCGTGTGTGTGTGTGTGTGAGGCTAGGAAAGAAAGAAGATGACAAAAAGTCTAACTTTATCTGCTACGGTTACAACCAGAGTTTTGCTACCTTGCAGATTTGCATGATCTTTGGATGAGGTGATTGAAACTAAAGATAACTTTTTTGACGTCGTGAATGTACTAAGAGTTGTTGATTTTAGGTGTGTCCACGTTTCGAAGTCGTCGTTTACTGCATCGCCTATATTTGTATAGTTCAAAAAATTACCATCTTCTTCGGTCATAGTGTAAGAGGAAGAAATTTTAAATATATATTCCGTAATTGGTCAATTTGAACATAGGTCCTAAAATATAGCATGAATATTTTTAATCAATGGCAGAGTGATAAGTTCATAAATATCCATAGATGTGAGAATTTTCCCAAATTTTAAAAACTGAATAACAACCAGTAAAAATGTGCTAATTACCATATCAGGATGGGAAATACCACAATAAAAACTTCCTGGCACTGTATACTGACACACGTACAAAACACAAAAAACATACCTAATATACTAAAATATAGAAAACAATCCTACATGCAAGACATACACATAACATATTTATAAGGTATACAATGTATGTGTTTATGTATACTATACATACAATATATACACATTTTATAACGAAACACAGCAGCAAGCAAATTTCTTATTTGTTATTTCCCTAACCCTTAGTAACAGAATCAGTGACGGCCACCTTTTTAACCAATTCATTATCCATTAACAATGCAGTTTCGTCCACGGATTGGCGGGTCTTACTACTAGCCTCGCCTCTGCTACTCGTCTGCTGCCGTTCGTCTGCCTCTGCAGCAAACCTGGACAACGGATCTACAAAATCTTCACTGCTGCTAGTAGTGGTGGTAGCCAGGAGTTTATTAACGGAAGGCAATGATCTGACAGAGTTCTCGGAGACGGATGAGTTGGAAATTGAATTAGTGATGGCCGTCATTGATGGGGACTGTCCGGCGTTTGTTGTTGCCGTGTGTGATGATTTGCTGAGTGGGTGATTTTGTGTTTCGATTAATTTCAAAGTGTTTTGTCGTTTTTTTTCCAGGTTAAAATTTCTCTTTCGTGGATTCCACTCCATCGTATTTTCGAGTGTTGTGATGGAAAAGTTTAATTTGAAAAAAGTGAAAATTGATGGGGAAATAATGAAGATATACAGCGAAAACGAACTAGAACTTAATCAGCTGTACGCCCCATAAATTCAATCGAGTGTACTTTTAAATTTAAATATAAATACAAATGTTTGAGCGCTAACTTTTAAATAATTTTTTTTTAGCTGTTTCACGGCTTCGATACATTTACCTTAATACAATTTTTGAGAAGAAAACAATAAAATGTTTGCCTCATTTAAATTAACCAACAATTTGCCACCTACTACTACTACTACTGCTGCTGCTATTACCACTACTTTTACTATTACTACCTACTTCTATTACTACTACTACTACTACTACTACTACTACTACTACTACTACTACTACTACTACTACTACTACTACTACTACTACTACTACTACTATTGCTGCTGCTGCTGTTCCTACTACTACTACTACTACTACTACTACTACTTCTATTACTACAACTACAACTACTACTACTACTACTACTACTATTACTACTACTGCTGCTGCTGCTTTTACGCTTCTACTACTACTCCTACTACTACTACTACTACTACTACTACTACTACTACTACTACTACTACTACTTTTACTACTACTACTGCTGCTGCTAATACTAATAATATTAAGTATTTATTTTAACAAATTTATAAAAAAAATTATTTATTGTATTTCATTTTTATTCTGTCAACTCTTTAAGAAAAGGTAAAATCAGTAAAAGCCGTAATAGTAAAGAAAACTACGATTAAATTAAATAATTATTAATGATCCAAAAGTACGCGCGTGTGTGTGTGTGCGTGCGTGCGTGTGTGTGTGTGTGTGTGTGTGTGTGTATTTAAGTGCGATTCAAATAGAAACCTTTTATTAACTAGAAGAAATGTAAAAATATATATAATATCTTTCTAACAAATTTTGGAAAGATTAATTGAATGAAATACAAGAATGAATGAATGAATGAACGAATGAATGAACGAACGAACGAATGAACGAAGCAGCGAATGAATGAATGAGTGAATGAAAAAGTTGAAATTTTATATATAAATAATGTAAGCAGTTGAATTGGAAGGTTATTGAAAAGCTTGAAATGTAAATTTTTTGTTTACACAATTTTGCTCTGGTCTTGTTTGCTTGATTTTAAGAAGATCAAGAACTTTTAAATATATTTCATTCATTCACCTGTCCGTGGATTCATTCATTCATTCGTTCGTTCGTTCATTCAATCCTTCTTTCTTTCATTCATCCCAAATGATTTTGTACTCAGTGTTCTACTGTTTGGTTACCACTGAATACCATTCCAACATTGTACAACTTAAATAAAGGGAAGCACGGACTTTCTATCAATCACAAAAGCACACACACAAACACACAAACAAACAAGAACACACACACATACAAGAACACACACACACATACAAACACACAAACAAACACACACACGCACACAAACATACAAGAACATACACACATACAAGAACACACACACACACACATACAAACACACACACAAACACACAAACGCACACAAACATACAAGAACACACACACACATACAAGAACACACACACATACACACACTCAAACACACATATTTAAAAACACGCGTGTAAAAACATACGAAGGCTCTGAGGACTTAGGTTGAACAACCATGATAGACACCTTTATCACAGAGACGAATGAAGTTAAATAAGCTTAGGCATCTTTTATATTAATGAGAAATAAATTTTTATCAATAAATTATTAACAAATAATATATATAAATTCTATGTCTAATTTTCTAATCTAACATATAACACAAAGACGAATACATACATACATATATATATATATATATATATATATATATATATATATATATATATATATGAACTAAAAAGAATAATATAATAATTATAATAGTTAAATGTATAGATTTTATAAAAATAGTATTTGAGTGTGTGTGTGTGTGTGTGTGTGCGTGCGTGCGTTTAGGTGTGTGTGTGTGTGTGTGTGTTTATTTTATAGGAATGTTGAATAGTAATGTGATTTACAATACGCCGATCATTCAAACTTAGAGATAGGATTGGACACTTAATTATTCATTCGCTTACTTCTGGGTACTACCACCCTGTTTTTCTCTTTTTGTCTCTGTCTGTCCGTCTGTCTTTTTCCCTCTCTTTTTTTCTCCCTATCTCTCTCTTTCTCTCTTTTTTCTTTCTCTTTCTCTCCTTTTTTTTCTCTCTCTCTTAAACAAATTATCTAAATTTCCTTTTTACCATCTCTCTCTCTATTTCTCTATTTCATTCTTTCTCCTTCAGTTTTTCTTTAATTTTTTTAATGTTTTTTTACTCTACGTTTCTCTCGCTTTCTCCCACTCTCTCTCTCTCTCTCTCTCTCTCCTCTCTCTCTTTCTGTTTCATTCTCTCTCTCTCTCTTTGTTTCATTTCTTTTCTCCTACATTTCCTTCCAGCCCATATTCAGAATACTTCCAAAATCATCTGAAAATATTTGGAGCAGCAAATTAATTCTGTCACTCCAAATAAATAAAAAATTACAATTTTAGCAAAAACACGTTTGCAGAAATGTCATCATAATGAAGAAAATTCTGAAGAAAATTTTTAAAAATAAAATCTTTCCCGCTCTTTTTAATCCTCTTCTTGACATCAATAGACGGCGTTTGGTGAGGAAAAGTCTGAAGGGGGGTTTGTGTGGGTAGTGGAAGAGGTGGTGGTGGTGGTGGTGGTCTGCTGTGGTTCGTGAATCTGGTTGAAGAAGAGCAAGACTGCATCCACAATGAAGAGGACCATTGACACGAAGGCAAAAAACTGATGAGAATCGTGGTTGTGATGATGATTAAGATTGTGATGATGATGATGATGAAGATTATGGTTGTGATGATGATGAAGATTGTGATGATGATGATGATGATGAAGATTGTGATGATGATGATGATGAAAATGTATGTAATAACGATGATGATGATTAAAGTTAGTATTGAAAAAAGTTAACTTGGTTAACTCGGTGATGAAGACGATGATGATTGATGTATGATATAATAACATGAATATTTTCGTGATAAGAATTAGCCGCCTCAACTCGAAAACTAATTCACCAACAAAAATTCAATAAATAAAAAGCTAATAGCTATAGCTAACAGCTGAGCTGAACTTACGCTAGCTGCAGCTGCACAGTTGTAGGTGTTGACGTAAAAAGTTTTGCTGGTGGCGACTCCAGCTACAACGCCAGCTATGAAGAGGAAGACCGCCATGGCTAGGTTTACTATGACCTCCTAAATTATAACATTACTACCTATATTATATTATTATTATTATTATCTATTATTATTATTGTTGTTGTTGTTGTTAAAATAATCAAACTATCATCATTCAACAAAGAATCCAGACACTAACCAGTTTAAATCGGCTGAGTATTTCCGGGTAAATGCCAAAGAAGTAGAGAATGAAGAAGGTCAAGGCCACAATGCAACCTATGACCCCGGAGAAGATGACCCAGCCAACACTGTAGTACCAGAAGTAGCCCTCTGATCCAGCCGCCAACGCAAACGTCAGTACGCAAAACGCCTACGTGTGTGCGTGCATGTGTGTGTGTACGTGTGTGTGTGTCTGTGTGAATAAACAAGCCAACAAGCAGACAAACGAACAAATAGATAATAAAATAATGAAATTCATTTAAAGATATCCTTTGCAAGCCTAACTTATTTTTATAGTAATATTGATCAGTTCGTACATAGCAATGATTATTATTTGTGTGTGTGTGTGTAATGTGTGTGTGTAATGTGTGTGTGTGTTTCTGTGTGTTCTTTTAATCAATCAAATAGTTTTATAAAGCGCCCTTTACGCGATTATTAACAGCGTTCCTCAATGAATTGAACGAGCGAAAAGTTCATTTCTTCCTTATTCAATCAATGTTTTGCTCTGAATAAAGTGAATGTTGCTGAAGATTTAGGTGTCTTGTTTGAATGCGATGTGAAATTTCATAAACATTTTTATACAACTATAAATAGATGGAACTCAATTTTAGGCTTGATTAATGGACACTTCAAAAATTCATCTAAAGATTCTTTCGTTACTCTTTAGTTAGGTCAAAGATGCGGCCTGTGTGTGACCTCCTTGGTCACTTGGGGTCATAGAAGACATCGAACGTGTTGAGAAGAGGGTTACTAAGATAGTCAAGAATTGCAGTGGAATGAAATACGAACAGCGATTGAGATTTCTTTCTCTTTCTACCCACACTTAGGTACAGACGTCTCAGAGGGGGGACCTCATTTTGGTTTACAACGTAACGAAAGATTGGAATCATTCTGCCTGCGCTCTTCTACTGAAGATACCAAACGACGAACGAATAAGGCGGAATCCATTTAAATTGCCTACCCCAAATTTTGAAACGAATCATAGAGAATTTATTCTCAAATAGAGTGATGAACACGTGGATCAGTTTGAGTGATGCTAGTGGTGTTAATTTGTTTAAGGTTCGTTTGGGTTTGATGAAGATATGATGTTTGACTGGAGCCGATTTTTACTTTTTCTCATTTGTTTTAGCTGTTCACATGAATTAACTTGTATGCGTAAGTTTGTATGCTCTCTAATTGTGTGTGTGTGTGTGTATGTGTTTATTTAACTTGTTTATTCTGAGTTTGGGTGTGTGTGTGTGTTGTGTGTGTGTGTGTATGGTGTATGTGTGTGTGTATGGTGTATGTGTGTGTGTGTGTTTAAAAAAGAAAAGTTCAAAATCGAAATCTCACAAATTCAAAAACTTTCAACAATCCTTGCACAGTTCCGACGAAGTTGGCATTCATCCCCATCCTTCCTGATTCCATCCAAAAAAGACTACAAAAACCGGATTATATATTCTCCCTACTAATTAAACCAACTAATTATTTAACTATTTAATTGATTTAACTAATTGGCTAATTAATTAAATAACCAATTAGTTAACCAGTTAATTAAATAACCGGTTAAGCAATTTTTAAATATACTTTGTTTCTATTACTGCTGCTACTGCTACCTATATTAACAGTACAACTTTTATATAACAATTAAAGTTGTTGTTGTTGGTATTGTTGTTGACGTTGTTGTTGATGTTATTGATGTTGTTGCTGACGATGTTGTTGTTGTCGTAACTGGCGACAAAAAATAATTTCTTTCATATAAGACCGACCTATGTCTGTTGGTTTAATGTCGGGTCAAATTTTCCAACTTTTGAAATGAAAAAACTTTATTTATTTACTTAATTATCTTTTGTTATCTATCTATCCCAAAATCAAATTTTAATTCGCTGTTAAAATTATTAAAACTCAATTCGAATTTAATTTGAAATAAAAATCGAATTAATTTCTTAAATAATCCAGAACCAACTCGATAAACACTAACGAATATTACAGTATATATATATATATATATATATATATATGTGTGTGTGTGTGTGTGTGTGTGTGTGCGTGTGTGTTAGATGTAAGCCAAAACCCAGTGATGCTTCACGCACCTTATAACTGCTACTATTAATAATACTATATAAGTGCATAATGTCATTTGCATTGTTTTGCTGTCCTTTGTATGTGTTTTGTATGTGTTTTGTATGTGTTTGTATGGGTTTGTATGTTGTTTGTTTTGAACATGTGTGTTTTTATGTTGTGTATATGATGAAACATGCATCACATTGTATGTATTAAATGGTTCATACGTGTATATTATATTATATATTGAATGTATATACATATATTGTTTGTATATATTTTGTATTGTATGTGTATGACTTTTTTTTATGGCGTTTGTACGGCAACTACTAAACTAACCTACCCACCAACCAAACAAGCCGATGATGAAACAGCTGACAATGTAAGTAATTAAGTAATGTACGTTCAAACACACACACACCACACACACACACACACACACACACACACACACACACACACACACATACACACAAATACCTTTATTTTTATACAAACACGCTTGCATCGGTTGGCAGGTAGGTTAACACAGGTATGAATAAACACACAGGTGTATGTGTGTCTGTTTGTGGGTATTTGTGTATGTGTATATATATATATATATATATATATATATATATATATATATATATGTGTGTGTGTGTGTGTGTGTGTGTGTGTGTGTGTGTGTGTGTGTGTGTGTGTGTGTGTGTGTGTGTGTGTGCGTCATCATCACGATTGCAATTTCGATTGTTTTAGATGGTGTCTTGGTGATAAAAAAATTCGATTTATCTCGAAAAAGTTATTGTTAAAACGATTTTTTTTTCAAGTTCTGACAGTTGTTTCTCGGAGAAAATTACAATTTTTTTTAACTATTTTTTCAAATATTAAAAAAAAATCTCATTCATAATTCGCGAATTATAATAGAGCAGACGGTAGAATACCTTATAAAAACCTCAAACGC